CCTGCCACCACGTTTCCACAACCGTAGGAGGGCCCACCGCAACACCTGGTGGCATTGCTACCCCCCACAGGTTCCCCATCCCATCTAACCTCTCCGTGACACGACGGAAGCAAGGCCCGTGTGGGGGGCAATCGATATATGTTTTATGTACATTCAAGTTAATTAAATTAGTTTTGGAAAAAATAAAATTAAAAATAAATAAAGAAAATAAATAAAATATTAAAATATTATTAGAAATCTATGCCTATGGCAAAGCCGTCGGCATAGCTATAGCCACGGAATGGTAGAGCCTTGGATCGATGACGTGGCGTAGACTGGGGACCGATGACGTGGCAAAATCCATGGGCCCGGCCTATGCCGATGGTTAGGCCGTAGGCATAGATATGCCACTCCACGGGACCGGCGAGCGACGCGGATCGATGACGTGGCGGCGCCGAGGATCGATGACGTCGGCATAGCTATGCCGACGGCCACCGTTTGCCCGTCGGCGTAGGCTGACACCGTCAAACACCGCCTGGGTAGACGGGCCCACATGATATGCCGACGGCCTACCATGTGCCGACGACCACCGTAGGCATATTTGAACCAACGCCGACGGCTGATCTATGCCGACTGCCCCCGTCGGCGTAGATGGACATACGCCGACGGCTTTAGCTGGGCCGTCGTGGTATGCCCGTGTATGCCGACGGGGGCCGTCGGTATAGATTTGGCCGTCGGCAACGCAAGTTTTTCTGGTAGTGTACCTTGGTTATCCAGGTTATGCCCGGCTTTACGTCGCATAGCCTTAGCCAAAGAGTCCTCGTCAGTGTCCGTCCTTCCATCGTCGGCCACCGAATGGCAGCCACTTCGGCGTGTGGGTGTGACCCCCGAAGAAGGATGTCGTGCAAGCACTGCCGCCGAGGGAGGGGGTGAGGGTGGAGTAGCAACTCCCTCCCCAGCTGCGTTTTGATTTTCGATTTGCCATTTTTTTCGGCCCTGAACGAAATGGCCGAATTTCGGCCATTTCAAAATTTTCGGCAAAATTTTGGACGAAATTACGAAATCAAATTTTGAATTTTCAGACAAAATTTGGCCGAACATTGGCCGAAATTCATCCGAAATTTGATCAAAAATTCACAGAAATTTGAAATCAAGCAAAGCAAAAGCATAGCAGCCCAACAACCATCAGGAGTAATCATATAATGTTTAGCAAATTAGCTCTAGGGATTAAAATAAGAGCGTCAGTCCAATATAACCCTCACGCACAATAGTTCTAAACTTACAGTTCACAACCATCACATCAATCCAAAGTTTAGATACTTCAGTACAACCAACAATTGGATTTAAAGGATTTCACATAGAAACAGCTCCAGAAGACAGCCATCAAAGCATCACACCGAACAGCAAAAGACAACCATCAAAGCATCACAATGAACAACAGCTCCAAAAGAAATCCATGAAAGCATGGACGGGGAGGTCTTGTTCCATCGAAAAAGCTCCAGCTTCAATGCTCCAAGCTCCAGCTAGCATCATGCTCCAGGCTCCAGCTAGGTAACATTTCAAAGACAAATATAGGTGATAAGTAGCATTTAGAACAGCACTACTACATGATAAGTAGAAACTAGAATAGCACTACTAAGAGACAAGTAGCAATTAGAACAGCACTAGTAGGTGACTGGTAGCAATTAGAACAGTACTAGTAGGTGATAAGTAGCAATTACAACATCCATACAAGAAGATAAGTAGAAATTACAACAGTACTAGGCGATAATTGACAAGTAGCAATTAGAACAACAATACTAATCATTACAAAGTGAGCATAAACATTAGAGCACCAGAATGAGAAAGCAATGTACATCAAGCTATTTAAAGATCAACCACTTCAAACATATGCATCAAGCGAGATTTTTCAAAGTAATCATCATGAAGAAGAAACACCAAAAAGAAGAGACTTACCAAATCTATGAGTAGAGGCTGTTGACTTCCTTGACCTTCTTCCTAACTAGTCGTCCAGATCTACGAGTCTCCAAATTGCCAACACTTGCTTGTGTCTCATTTTCGACTTGTATTTGTGTTTCTTGCTGATCTTGTTGATCATCCTCATCATCCTCACTCACCCCATCATCATCCTCACTCTCATTATCAACATACTCATTCTCATCCTCACTCTCATTATCAACCTACCAAGCAAATACTCTAGAAATGTGCACCAATAAGATCAAGATATATGCCTTACTATATAGAAATATGAAAGAGAGATCCAAATACTCTAAAATTGTGATCATCCTCATCTCACTACATGGACAGCGCAGTGTACTGTTATGTCCACTCACACAAAAAATACTCCAAACAATTTAGGAACAAATACCAAATAGTTTCATGGAAGTACTGAATTAAGTGAGAGCTCTATGCCATCTTTTTTTATTTTAACTAAATTAGAGCTCTATAAGAACCCCATGCAATCTCACAGCTCATATCATGTTAGTATGTTACCTTTCCAAGAGCTTTGGGAACCAATTGCACTTGTATCATGGTTGCCGCTGCCACTCCTATTTGCAGTTCCGTCACCTGAAAATCAAGTGACAAAAGGACACCGGGTAGTTATGAAGAGTAGGTAACTAAGGAAGCAACCCTTGCTTACTAGGGTGTCCTCATATTAATAATAAACAAAAAACAGTACAGCCCAATGCTCTAGTTCAGATACTAAGGAATAAGTGATTTATATGCTCTAGTTTGACAAACAGACAAGTCACAAACTGTAATCTGTTCTTGAGAAAGATACAATGATGCTTAGTTCTAGAACCACAACTTAATGGTACCACTGACCATTGAAATTAATCATCAGTCAACATCTACTTTTCTGTTGAAATTAATCTGTTCTTGAGAAAAAACTTCAATGTTGCACAAAAGCATCATCTCGACAGCTCAAAAACAAGCACACAACACAGATATATGGAACAATTATATGTTTTAGGATGTTCATAACAAAGTTTGTAACCCACTTTTCTGTTGGACCAAAATAAATATTACCAGATCTAGAGCATCCTTGGTGACTACAAGATGCATGTATAATTCAGATTAAGAATATCACTACTGTGTTCAACACTTCAATACTCAGTTTTTCTTACCCCCCGTATGATATATGCATAAATCTAAAGCAGCACAAGCAGACACAGATTATAACCAAGAAACAAAGCAACATCGATCTGAAATTGCTGGAGAACTGAAACTGCATACACGTACTTGGACGAGACAAATTGCTGAAGACTGAAACTGCATACACGTACTGAAACTGCATCAAGAACATTTGTACCTTCCCAGTCAAGCGGACGCCCTCCATGCTGCTGCCGCTGCCCCGTGCTACTGCCTCCGTTGAACTGGTCGGCTCGCGCTCCATCAGCTACGTTGCCGCAGCCGCCGAGCACCATGTTGCAGTCTTGGAGAACAGGAAGTGGATGGGGTGGAGGATGAGGAGGACGGCCGGAGAAGTGAGTGCCTTGGCCGGAGATGTGGAGGAGGGCGAGGAGATTTGGAGGAGGGCGAGGAGATGTGGAGGACGGCCGGAGAAGTGAGCGCCTTGGCCGGAAATGTGGAGGAGGACGACAAGATGTGGCCTGTGCGCAGCGGCGGCGCCGCACACAGGAGGAGGGACAGGGAATGAGCGATTCTAGGGTTAGGCCGTTTGGGTTTCGTGGTTTTGTCTCAGCGGAAGCTAACTGGAAGTCTCTCGAAGCTGGGCCGGGCAAAAAAAATTCAAACTGGGCCAAATTATTCGGCCGATAGGCCCATATCTCGGGCCCTAGGGAGACGGCCGAAATTCGGCCGAAATTGATTTTTTTCGGCCGAAAATCAAAACGCAGCTCCCCGGCAGTCTTGATCGCCGGTATACGCGTCGCCGCCGCGGAAGATGGCTTCTCTGCGCACGGGACGACGGAAGGAGTCTGCAAGGACGGGGTGGACACGTCCAGCTGCGCCTGAGACTGAAGATCACCGCAGACGCGACCGGCTCCGGCTGAGACTGAAGACCAGCCGCAGGTGCCCCAATGTTTGGCGGCCCACCCAACGGAAGCCATTCACGTCCGAGTGCACTAGTAGCATGCATGTCTAACTCCACATGAGCTGCATGCCGGTCTGCATGTACCAAAGCCGCTGGATACTGGCTCTCCAAAGGCACGACAAGGCGCCCTGCTGTATCTCCGTCGGCCTGCACCTGCTTGGAGACAGCCGGCTTCGGCACCGCCGTCCGCGACGTCGACGGCTGCTGCAACACCACGTTAGCAGCCTGCTGTACGTTTACTGAAGAAGAGACCGGACGCCCCGCTGAGCCACCGGTGGCCTGCATCGATTGCAGGGCATCCGGCGAGGCTGCCTCCGTCCGTGTTGGCCACGATGGCAGCAACACTATCAGAGTCCACGGAGAGGTAGGCGACGACGAGTCCTGCCGAAACATTCGTGGAGCCGCTTTGTGGCAACCACGTAACGTGGAGTTAGCTTGAAGTTTCGCGGCAAGCTCTATGCCTCTTGGTGTCTGCGGTGAGGGGTTGAACGGTGTCACCGCCATAATCATAGAGCTACCTCCCGGAGCTCCACGAGAGACCACGTTTGCGTTTACATGGACACATGACACAAGCCTATCGTCTAACAAGGGAGAACGTTTTCCTAAGCATTGACGCTGCTAGACAATCTGTAACGTTCGCGTGATCTCGTACTGGTTTGGGTCCTCGGGTTGGCCAAAAGCCCAAAACTCACTGTGGGTTTGTCTGTTTGTGGTAGGAAGGTTGGATTGGTAGCAGCACGTGCTTGCACTGCGCAGATGCTGCTCGATCTACTTGGCGACAATCTATAAGTAATCAATATTCCCGTTGATCAGATCCATCGGTCGTGGTAGCTAGCAACTAATCCAATCAGCAAGAAAAGTTTTCATGGCGCGTGTGGAGGCGCTGAGCATGAGCGGCCTGTCGGTGATCCCGGTTGAGTACGTGCGGTCGATGGATGAGCGTCAGAGCCTGGGGGACGCCTACGACCAGGCGGCGGCCAGCTGGTCCACGGCGGGCTGCCAGCGTATCCCCATCGTCAACGTGGCCCCGTTCGACGGGGCCGACCCGAGCTCTCCGGCGAGCGCCGCTGTCGTCGACGCCGTTCGCGCGGCCGCGGAGGACTGGGGCGTCATGCACGTGGCCGGCCACGGCATCCAGGACGATCTGATCGACGCGCTGCGCGGTGCTGGGACGGGGTTCTTCGGCATGCCGATCGCCAACAAGGAGGCCTACGCCAACAACCCGGCGGCCGGGATATTGGAGGGCTACGGCAGCCGGCTCGCGGGCTCCGCCGGCGAGGACGGGAAGAGGGAGTGGGAGGACTATTTGTTCCACCAGCTCCACCCCGACGCACGCGCCGACCACGCGCGCTGGCCGGCTCACCCACCAGAGTACGTGCCCGTCACGAAGAGCTTCGGGGAGCGCGTGAGTGAGCTGGCGGCCCGGCTCCTCGCCATCCTCTCCCTCGGGCTCGGCGTCCCGGCGCCAACGCTAGAGCGCCGCCTCCGCCTCAGCGACGAAGAAGTCGCCGTCGAGGACGATCTGCTGCTGAAGATGAAGATCAACTACTACCCGCCGTGCCCGCAGCCCGAGCTGGCGGTGGGTGTGGAGGCGCACACCGACGTCTCCGCGCTCTCCTTCATCCTCACCAATGGTGTACCGGGCCTCCAGGTCCTTAACAGTGCCGGGGCATGGGTCACCGCGCGCGATGAGCCCGGAACCCTCGTGGTCCACGTCGGTGACGCGCTCGAAATCCTCAGCAACGGGCGGTACACAAGCGTGCTCCACCGCGGGCTGGTCAACCGCCGTACCGTGCGCATCTCATGGGTGGTCTTTGCCGAGCCGCCACCCGACTCCGTGCGGCTGCGGCCGCTGCCGGAGCTCCTTGTGGACGGCGCCGAGCCACGCTTCGAGCCGCGCACCTTCAGGCAGCACCTGGAAAACAAGGTCCTCAAGAAGAAGGATTAATAAACTCAGCAGCAGCAGGAGCATTGTTGGTTTAATTCCATTGCCCGAAGTAAATCTGCCATGGCAACACGTTCCGGCCTATTTCTCTCGTAAGTGTTGAGTAAGTTGATTATTAGAAAAATTATCAAAGCGTAGGATATAATTCTACCTTGTCTTGTACTCCAAAATAATCATGTACTCTTATATGTATGTCCACGAGACTCAAGGAATAATTATTTAATCCATCATATTTCGCAACAATTCATTTCTCACCCTTCTAACATGTAACAGCCTTTTTTTGGAAATGGAGGTTAAACCCTCGGTGTGGTGGTACTAAGACTGACAGTAAGAATAGGGGTACGTAGGAGAAGGCAAGGTCCTAACTACGGTGAGGTTGTACGCAGGTGTTTACGAGTTCAGACCCCTCTCGGAAGAGGTAAAAGCCCTACGTCTCAGGCCCGGAGGCGGTCGACTAGATTTCAGTATATGCGTGTGTGTTACAGGGGGTGCGAACCCTTGTCCCAGAGGAGGGGGTGGCTTATATAGAGTACGCCAGGACCCCAGCCGTCCCCCGTTACAGAGGGTTTAATGTACATAATGGAGGGGCGTTACTGATAACGCCAGCCATAAGTGTCATTAATGCTGATGAAGACTATAGAGTGAATGTCCGGCCGTTGCAGTTCCGTCTGACTACTGGTCTTCATAGGTCGAGTGGTTTCTTGCATGGTCGAGTGGTCGTCGGAAAGGTGGGATACCCGAATGATATGATTGGTCGAGTGGAATGCACTCGACGTCTTCCTTTGGTACTTCTTGTTGTCTCTTGACCTTCCTTGCTTCTAGGGTAGTGACCTTGGGTAGGGTATGTATGTGAGGACTATGACCCTACCTTAGGTCTATGTCCTCATCACTAGCCCCCGAATAGATTGAGATCCGAGTGGAGGGAAGATTGAAGTGGATTTTGCATCAACCTTTGTGCTTCACGACTACCCGCGTCGAATGAGAGGTTCGCGTTGGAACTTCAGCTTCGTGTCAGTCGCCTCGATCAATTCAGAAGTTGCCGAGTGAATTAGTAGCATCATTTGTCGATTGTTGCCTTCTGTTGCGAGATCTCCGGCGCGATTGTTTATTGCGTATCCCGGATTCGGCGGGATTCGAAATTTCGGGGAAGCGCGCGGGGCGGAGCGTGCCGCGGTAATCGGGACGGGTAAGTAGGAACGCCTCGATCACCGCGCCAGCTTTTTCGCCACATATCCGGCGCGCGACTGCTGCGGGGATTTGACAGGATCATCCGGGCCCGCGCGTCAGCCACTCGCAAGTGGGCCTTTAAAATCCGACGGGGCCGAGGCATTGCACTGTGCGTCCCCAATCTCCCCATTTTTCCTCTGCTTCTCCTCCACGCGTAGCTCCTCCGCTCTCGATGCCGCCGCTCCACCGCAATGGTGAAGGACAAGACGACAGCGCTGGAACACGCGAAGAAGGCGACGAGGGAGGCGAAGGGCAAGAAGACCCATCGGGGGTCATCGTCGCGGTCGGCGCTGCCGCCGGGCTGGATCCAAGGCGATTGGATCCGGTCTTCGCTCCAACAGGAAGATCTGGACGAGCTGGAGGAGTCTGGGCTGATTGCCAAGGGTGCTGCGAGGTTGCCGGAGGGGGAGACGGAGCCACAACCGTGACCGGGTGAGTGTGTTCTGCTCGCCACCCATGTCGACCGAGGCTTCTCGCTTCCTCCGTACCCCTTTTTCCGGGGCTTCTTGAACTTCTTCGGCGCCCTCCTCCACCACTTTTCTCCCAATACCATCACATATCTTGCTGCATTTTTGTCCATGTGCGAGAATTTTCTGGGGTCTCGCCTGCACTGGGGTCTTTTTAAGCATATTTTCACCATCTGTTCTCAGTCGGTGAAGAAAGCAAACGCGAGCGACGAGAAAACACATGTCATTCAGATCTGTGGTGGTTTGGGTATCCAGAAGAGGCAGAGGAGCTCTTTCCCCTCCTTGACTCTACCTTAATCGGTCAGGGGCTGCCAGTCGACCTGGTTGTACTGCCACGACCTCACAACCCCAGGCCAGTCGACCGACCTTCCCCACTTCACTTTGGATCGTGTTCAGACTCCTTCCTCGCTAAAAGTGACTGCTGCTGTGAGCGTGGAGACGAACATGCTAGTTGAGAGGGTTGTCCAACTGATCAATCAGGGTATCACTGGCATGGATCTTCTGGAGGTATTCCTCAGTCGATGCATCCAGCCTCTAAAGGCCCGTGACCATCCTATGTGGATGTACTCTGGGCCTGACGACACCGCTCGGGTTCATCCAGAGGAAGTGCCAGCTAAGACGGTGGCCCTGTGGTTGAAGAGCATTACATGCAATAAGGACAACCCCAGAGGAGCCAGGAGAGTCGTCCCTTTCAATGACGACAATCAGCCAGACAAGGTGTGTCTTTTATCATCGACTACCTTTGGGTACATACTCCGACTGTCCCTGTATCCGACTGACTTTTACTTGACTTCTTGTCTTGCAGGTTTTTACTAAGATGTACTCGATGCCCAATGGTGAACAAGTTCTGGAGCAAGGCCAGGAGGGAGGGGACAGCGCGGAGGAGAGCAGTGATTGGGAATCTTCTGAAGAAGAAGACGAAGAGGAAAGCGACGAGTCGGACGACGAAGAAGCGGTCGACTCGCCACCTTGCTCGGAACATCGATCCAAGCAACACCATGACCCAGTGGGCGGGAGTGGTAAGAACGTGTCCCCAAGCACCCAAACGCAGAAGCGCACTCGGACGTCGGCTCCGGAGCCAACAGAAAAAATCGCCAAGCAGCCCAAGGTTGCTCCTCCAAAAGCTCGGAAGAGTCTGCCCACGATCAAGATGGATGTTCCTGTTGCCCTTGGGTGAGTAATTTTTTTCCTTGTTTTACTCCTATGACTGATTCCTCTATTTTGACCGAATTGATCATGCATCTTTCTAGCCCATCCTCTGCTGCGACTGACATGGACATTGACAAGGCCCCAGGAGATGAGGAAACCGACGACGCGGCCACCTCCAGAGCTGGTAAGCCCGCTTGAATGAAACGTATTTTGTCGATTCAGTTGTCGGTCAGTTGAATTTCCGATGTTTTGTTTTTGCTGCAGCTCCACGAGACATTGTCGTGCTTCCCGATGATGATGAAGAAGAAGCGCCTCTGAAGGAGAGGAGAAGGAGAGGAAAGGGATCGAGCAGGAGTGCATGAGGTTCAAGTCCCTCAGCCGATGCCGGCGCTCGAGATGGCAGTCGAGCGATCCGGAGATCAGGTTTGGACCAACGTAACTTTTGCAGGGAGAGGTGCAGGGGGTCGACCATAGCGGGGGG